AAAGCACATCGACTAATCCTTTCTTTTTATTATCTTATTATTATTAAAGTGAGAATGAATGCAATTTATGAATGCAATAGACGGTTGAGACAAACAATTTTATTTATTTCATCTAGACAGTGTACATTCCTCAATGCAATGTTTCGAAGTACATTTTTTTTTTAATATTTCTATTTATTTTCTTTTTTACTTCCCGTGCATGGCATGCGAATGCCCTAATCCTTTTTTCATGGTATTGAGGAATGTCCACTTCTTCGATTGTCTATTATTAGATGCATGTTATGAGGATGAAGCTTGGTGGATGCATGTATGCAAGTGTTTGTTTTTTCCTAAACATTATCATGTTTTATTTTCTAACATGATGTATGATAGTGTTTGAGATTTTGTGTTTTTTTGTATGCGGATGAGGGTATGAAGAATGCCAGCCGCTTTCTAGAATGCAAAAAGATTTTGGTTGTTAAAAATGAATGATTTATGAGATGGATATTCCTTAAGACAATGGCTTAGGTATCCTCCTTAAAGCTTATGCTTTGTGGGGTATCCTACCCACCTCGGTGTAATGGTTCATTCCCCATCACAGATTTGACAAGTATAATGGCAATCACCATCACACCTTAGTACACTTGTTCCTTCCTTGTCGCGAAGGTCACAAATGTGCTCGGGGCCTCTTTCGCCATTGTCTTAGGGATATCTAGTGCTCCCTACAATGAGTGTATTTATGCATGCACTAGTACAAAAGGGCGGTAGATGTTCAAAGTGACATAACTTTTGACTGAGATGTCCGATTTGGACGCACAACATATCAAAACGAAGAGAAAAAGGTGAAGAATCAAATTACAAATCCTCAACGGGGATTTGGCCCAGTAATTTTCTCAAAAAACGCTTCTAAGACCCACTTTTGAGGGATTTATTAAAATGATGCGTATGCATACTTTCCTTATGCACTTATTTTTTTCTCTTGGTTTTTCCACTTATGATGCAATATGAATGATACGACTTTGTCAATATTATTTTTATAAATGTTTTGATTTTGTCATTATTTTGTTTATTTATTATTTTATAGCCTTTTATCTCTTCTGTCGGAACTGCGTGACTACTTAGCTTACAAAGAACCTGAAACCAGGCTAGCTAAAAGGCAGACTGTCCGAGATAAAAATATGGCTTTATGCGAAAGAATATTTAGCGTCCCTTATCTCTTCTGTCGGAACTGCGTGGCTACTTAGCTTACAAAGAACCTGAAACCAGACTAGCTAAAAGGCAGACTGTCCGAGATAAGGGGGTTTATTGCAAAAAATGTTTTTTTTATGATTTTTTATTTTTATCTGTTGTTTGGTTATGCTATGCAATCAAATGCAACAAACAAATGCACACACAATTCGATCATCCGCGAACAGGCAAGAATTCGTTTTTATCATGAGGTAGGGTTTTCCTGCAGAAAAGTGCATTGGCGAGGGTAGGTTCTAACTGTTCTCACCAGGCTAAGGCCCCCAAGGTGCCCCCATTATAGGGTCCCCACTCTCCAGCCTTCCGACCATGCTTAGCACTAAGGCCATAGTCAGTCTTGTTGCCAAAAGAGGAAGGTTATCACCTTGAGTGGTGGTTTCCGATCACACCGGTGGGCACAAAGTCATCACTACAGCGAACCGTACCTGCCACCCACTCCCTATGGATTTCTCACTTGCCCCCGGGTATAGAGGGAACTGTTGTGTGCAAGGGTTTGTGTACAATTTGTATTTCAAACAATTGCGTAAGTATAAACAGACAACAATTATTTAAAGCCAAACCGTAAAACATGTTATAATACAAGGTAAGGGCAAAAGCGTTATTTTCTTGGTTTATTTATTTTTTAAGCCGGCCCATCACTAAATGAGATCAACTCTCGAGGTTTCCCCAGTGAAGTTGCCATCTGTCGCCTTCGTAAAAAAGGAGGCGGTCGGAGTGACGCGATGGTTTCGACCCTCTTGTTTTTCGCGTTTTTTGTTGGTGGTTACAACGCCTTTAGGTTGTCCGATAACCGGGCTGAACCTAGAGGCGAGATTTTCGAAAAGGCGCTTCTTGGATTGTCCGATAACCGGGCTAATCCAAGAGCTAGTTTTGAAAGGGTTCTGTGGAGTCGCCACCGATGTTTTTACCGGAAACATCGGAAAAGGGGTTAAAAGGCGTTGGTTTTCGAAAAACCAACTTTGGTCGTTAGAACTAGAGTTGGGTAAGGGAGTTAGTTACGTGTAAAGGAAGTGTTAGTTCCTTTACGACGCCCCTTTCGGGTTCCCTATGACAGGCCAGTTATTTAAAAATATTTTAAACCGGTGAAAATTACGCTTTTACCCTTTTATTCTGCGGAATTTAAAATTACGACTACATGACCCTAATATCTATTGCATAATTTAAAATTAAAGCGATAAAAGTAGAGAGGGAGAATATAAACCTCCGAAGCACGCTTTTATATTAACTCTTTAAAAAAATAGGGTGCTTTGCAGCAGCCCTTCACTCTACAGCGCCGGAAAATCTCTTGGAACGTTCGAAAAACACTCTAATGCGTCGAAGGGATTCTAGAGAGAGAAACTAGTGATTTTCTAGAGAGAAGGAGGAGAAAACTCTATGTGGTGTGTGGAAATGAGGGAATGGAGCCCCCTATTTATAGTTTTTCGCGCCTGACAGGTCGAGACCGCCGTTCTCGTCTGACAGGGTCGAGACCGCCGTTTCGCCAAACGAGACCGTCGTCTCGCCCTTCGCAGGTGGCGAGACCGCCGTCTCGCCACTTGCATGAGGCGAGACGACGGTCTCAATTTTGAGACGGCGGTCTCGATTTCGAGACGACAGTCTCGTCCCCAAAAAGGCGAGAAACCTTATTTTTGTGCCGAAAATCCCTCCTATCCTAGTATGGGGCCTAATAGTCTCTCCTAGTGGCTTGTTAGGCTTCGTCCATCTTCGAATAGGAGGTCTTCTACTCTTTATTTGGAGGCCGGACAAGATTTGGGGTCTACATTGGGTCACCACATATTTTAATCACTTCTCGCTCAAGCGAAAATTCCCGTAGTTTGAGCGAGAATTGACCGGAGATTACCCCTTTGTTACAGATTTCCTCGCTCAAGCGAAGGGTTTCTTCGCTTGAGCGAGACTTGACCCGAGATTACCCCTTTGTTACATATTTCCTCGCTCAAGCGAAGGGTTTCTTCACTTGAGCGAATATTGATTGCGCGAAATAATCGATCGTAATATAAAATAATCGATTATTTTAATACGTGAACAGTAAACAGTGCTAGTTGTGTAAATAATGTTCTAGATGTGCTATTTTGGAAAATATTTTTAAAAAGAGTATTATTTATGAAAAAAAGTCATCAAAAGTGGGCATATATACTGTATTAACAGAGTCATTGGTTAAATAATTCGGTCACTAATTGAACTTCACAAATAGATAATATATTAGTGTTACTATTTAAAATATACACAAAAAAATGTAAATAAAAGATGTAAAATAACTTTTTTTTTTTTAAACTGACTATTATTTTGATTAGAATAGAAGGATGTTGAACTATTTGTAAAAATATTACAAATATCAGTTTATATAATTTATACTTTATTTTTTACATATTATTTCTCCAAAACTACTTTTCTAAACAAATCCATGTTAACGTTATATTTTGTTATGCGAGATATTTTAACTGAACTAATAACTGAGAAAATATAAACTTCTGTTGAAGATGGTTATTTTTCCAATTTCCAAACCCATATTTAATAAATAATAAAAATAATAACATCATTTTAATATATAAAATTTGACCAATTTTAAAAATCCTATCATACATAATTTAGTAAGGGTACTTATCTAAATCCCTTTAAAACATATTCTACACACTTAATCTATGCATACTGAAGTAATATTATATAATCGTTCAACAATATAAAATGACTAAAATCTCATGTATATATTTTTTAAACTTTTAATTTAGTTACCTCAATACTATTTATTAATATTATATTTTTTTATAATAAATTATAAAATTATGCAGGAACTCACAAAGAATTTTACTTAGGTTAATTAATAGATCATACTAAAATATTCACAATTCCAACAAATTAAAGATTTTATCCTATGTCAAGAGTTGTGAATTTTGCATGGACCTGCCAAACCCAAATCTCGATCAAACATGTAATTCATATATTTTGATATTTTTATTTATGATATTATTTTGTGTGTGTCTCTTTTATTTCTATTATTATTATTATTATTATTATTATTATTATTATTATTATTAAAGACATTTGTAGAAGAAAAATATTTATACAAATTTTAAAAACATGTGTATATTTTTAAAGATTAAAACAATTATTTAAGTTATGTAAAAATGAAAAAAAAAACAGATATTAAAACCCAAATCAAACTTTGTTGAAACTGTTGAAAAGTGCTTCTTCATAAAATTGTTTTTATTTTAATTTATTTTTTATAAATTTCAATTAGTATCCCAAATATACAGAATTACAAATATTTTATTTATGACAAAAAAAATTATTTTTACGCATTCTCTTCCTTTCGACTTAATTTCTTTTTTCTCGAGAACAAAAGGAAACGAAAAGACCCGACCCGTGTTAAAATCTAACCCAATCAAACTGAATAACCCAAATAGCTTTCCTCAGTGGCGCAATTCTGAGTACAAGTTCAACTCAACGTAGCTACATTGCATTCGAGTAGATATATATGTATCGAGAATCTTGATAGCACACTGGAATTGAATGAAAGCCGAAGCAGAATGGATCAATCGCAGAATCAGCTACCAGCGACATCGACAGCTCCCTCGCGCTCTTTCCAGTTCCACCCTGCTCGTGGCCCCATTCTCGATCTCTTCAACCTAATTATTATATAGTTACAGCTTGATTGGCTAAGTAGTCACTTTCGTCCACTGCAATATGTTTGATATATTGCCTTAAAGAAAACAAGCACCTTTTCTTAAAGTCATTTGACTCTTTTATTTGCTTGGAAGGTAACTCTTAGTTTCAGCACAATGGGTCGAAATTTTTTTGAGCTACTTTACTGTGGAAACCATTTTATTAGAACCAACAAGTTTGCAGCCTTCTACCTGAACTCTATGTTTTATCACTCTTCAAAAGACGCTCCCAGCCTGCAATGGTATCAGAATGGGTTTCTCAAGGTGAAAGAGTTGACCCATTTGCTAGGAAATGTGGATGAAGTTAATGGTAGACTTGTTGATATAAAGAGCAATTCAACCTTTTTTGATGATGACATTGAGCGTGAAATGTCTACCTTCAAGTCCCTTGTTCGTGAGTTTGTTGGGTCTGCAATTGTTCAGCACAAAATGAAACATGTCCAGGCCTCTTTCATCACAAATGCAAAACATGAATCTTTTACCCCTTTTAAAAGCAACTGAAAGAGATCCTATGGTGGTTGACTCACTGACCAAAGTGAGCAACTTTCTCAATGTTTCTGCTCAACAAAGGAAGTTGGTTCGTCTAAGAGTGTGCCCCCAGGTTACTCAACATCGCATATGGACTGGTGCACTTAAAGAAGTTCTGAACGATTTTGCAGTTGATTTGGATTTTTTGTCTTCTCAGGGCTTAAACAATGATATTTTGTTAGGTGGCCAAATTGTTCATAGCTGTTTGAAGTTTCTTACTGAAATTGGTGTCTTTTCAGACACCGAGTCATCTTCTTGGATGAAGCTTTCACCTTCTAAAATGCTTGCCTCTGACCCACGAAAATGGGAAGATGTTCTTGTAATGTTCAATGATCTGATTGAATGCTGTAAAAAGGAAGTAAGGTTGAAGTTCCATGTAGCTAAAGCTGAGATCATGAAGGAGGGGCTTTTGCACATAAGGGATGTTTCAGTTGACAACAGTGTTGGATACAAGGAAGCTCAGCATCAAGAAAGCCTGGTGAGGAAGAAGCTTTCCACAATGTTGGGTCACTCCTCTCGTTGCATATTCACTCTATTACTGTATTATCTCTATGGAAGGGTGGTGGATATTGAAGTAGACATGCGTGGTGGGGTCTATACAAATGGAAGTGATGGCAAGTTTTGCTTGTTTATGGGAAGAATCTTGACTTCGGATAGTGAGAAGATGGTTGGGCGAGGGGTGAAGCAGTTGGACCGGGCACTTGGAATTTTCAAGTTTGTGTGGGAAATGGCTGGAATGAAAGGGCATTTGGACTTGCAGGGCCATATGTGGTGTGTTGGAGCAGACAGTAGGGTGCTTATGTATAGAGGTAACACGTACTTTGTGCATGGAATTTGCCTTCGATTATAGATTTTTGTATCACTGTATCATCTAATCCTACTTCATGGTGCTAATATATCCCCACGTTGAAGGTGGCAATGACAACTCAAATTTGCGGTGTGTTCATGTAATTCAATCAAAATTCAAAGAAATTTACAAACAACCACCTCACTTTAAAATGAACTCTAGAGAGCAAAATAATTAGTTTATGTTTTTCTACTAGTTACTTTTTGATAAATGATTCCTTGTGATTTTTTTTTTCTGCTTGAATTATTGGGTTATGTTTTTTTTTCTTTCCAGTGGTATACTTGTGATGCAACTAATCAGTCTTTAACATTCCAAGACTACAAGGATTAATCCTTTCTTTACTTTAGAAACTATAGTGTGATGCCTTGTGGTATATTTGGAGAGCGAGATGCTGTCTTATTTTCCAAGGTGCGAATTTAAATACCATGGTCATATTGAATTGGCAATTGGGGCGTGAGCCCCATGCGCAAATGAAAGATGGACACGATTGGTTTCTTGCGGGTCTCCTTAACTTTTGGATCAAAGGTTGTCACAAAAGATAAAGTGGTTACTTATGGTATATTGCAAGGTAATATTTTCTTTTTATTTCCTCAAACTTTTGTGTTGACTCATTGTAGTGTGTAACTCTGGATGTTTGTCAAAACTATTTGATCCAATGATGCCAAGCTAACAGTGAACTCCAATGGGCATGTGTTTCATATATTGTTAATGGAGTACAAACAATAAGTCCTGACTAAAATTTCTTATACAATTCTAATTTTTATAAATGTTGAAATCTTATATTCTTCATTTCATGCATGTACCTCACAGGTTACTAGTATGATAAAAATGACTTCCTCCGGTCCAATAATTTCTTCTGCACCCTCATAATACAAAATGTAAAAAATAAAAAAAAAATTGTTCTCGAGGTTACTTTCTTCTTCCAGGCCACACTACATGTACCTCTATTTATTGCATTTCACACATCTTTATTAAGTATTATTTTACTTTAAGGTTAGAAATTTGTTGGTAATTTATACTTTGAAACATGTTTTGCATCCAAAAATTTCATAAAAAATCATATTTGATTTGTATGTGATGTTCCGAAGCATAATCAAGTTTGAGAGAGAAAAGTAAGGCTGATCCGGTGTTAAAGCATATACCCATAATCAAGTTTTTCACAATTGGTTTGGTGGCATGACGAAGTGCAACAAATGGGTTTGTTCACAAGCTTTGCTGACATTTAGATCATTTAGTGCATGCACATCTAGTCTGCTTTTTCATTCAAGAATCTTGTTCACAAGCATTACTCTTCATCTCCATTCACAAAAACATTGTTTCAAACTTCTTCTACCACTATTAACATCCAATCACAATTTGAATGAAACCGGTCCTTAAAGCATTTTCGTATATTAAAGCATTTAGGTAGAAATAATGGACCTTTATATAATAATGTAATGCACTAAATCAATTTTAACATAAAATTGGTAGCAGCCTTCAATGACAAACAAAAGTACTTTTCACTAAAAATATTTTATGTTTGACTCTATCAAGAAAAACTTATAAACCATTAAGACTGAGAGGTTTATGTTAAAAAAGAAAATGCATCCTCTAATGGTTTCAAAAATGTGTTTCCCCATTTGTCAATAATCTCAATAAAAATCAAAAAGCTACTTTTTTATTTGCTACCTCAAGTAATAATTGAGAAACAGCAGCTGATTAGCAGGTACCAGCTTCCATAGATTGTCGGCTTAACTCATCATCTGCATTCCTTAGAAATTGATCCCAACCACTCCCCGCACTGGTATCCAAGTAATCAAATGGAACTGCTGTTTTAAGGCCTGGCCTAACAGCACAATGATCTTCCACAATTCTAAACTCCACATCATTTGCTTCGTTATGAATATGCTCTAACTCATCCCATGTAAACAACAATGGTAATGTAAAGGCACCCCAAGGGTTGAAATCCACAACCTTAACTCTCTCATCCCTTGTAATATAGACATCAAACGTGTAGTTTTCTGACTCAAATTTAGCCCTAACATGATTGTTGAAAAATGCAAGGATCATTAAAAGGAGATCATTCTTCTTTTCAAGCAAAAGAGGATAAAAAGTAGTAACCTCACGTTGAGAAATTCCAATTAATTTCTGATCTCGTATGAAACATCGAAATTCCATGTCTGGCTGAAGGGACGGATACCATTTCTGAAGAGCAAGAAAGAAATTTTGGGGTCTAGTCAAAGATTTATCATCGCAAGAATCATACGCATGGCACAAGTCATGGACCAATGAGTCAGATGCTCGAAATAAAAGCGCAATCTCACTGAAACTGGTGCACCGAAGGGTACCAGCAGTACTTATCCAAGCTGAATCTTTTGGGGCACTCCAATTCAGCTTGGGAAAGATGGCACCGCCAAGGGACTCAATAGATTCCTTAATTTTCAATTCAAGTTCTGGAAAAGAAGGTGGTGGAGAACCTTCTTCTGCTTCATCATCAGATCCCTCAGACACCTCAAAATCTTCTTCCTCATTCGGATTATGAATTCTATTGGGTAACGCATCTTCGTTTAAGACAGAATCAGGTAACAGGAAGGGCCCTGAGTCATCAAGAAGGTACTGAATAAATGACTCGGGAAGTTGATGAATTAAGGTCTTGATGGATACAGATTTGAACTTTGGATACCACTCCTGAATCTGGCATTGATTCACCTCTTCCTCTTTCATATTCTGTAACAGTAGTTTCTCTACCAAATATAACTTGCTGAACTTCCTCGTCTTCACCAATCAGAATCTATTCAATAATCAATGAACATATTAGAGATTAATTGTTGAAACCTAGTAATAAATAGCTAGCAAGATGGGTCAGCCTACCCATCAACCCTAGGCAACGTGGGTCGGGTAAAAATGTTCATAGGGTCATGTAGTTATCGACCAGCACATTAAATTAAAAGTAACAATTAGCCCACGTATTAAATGGTCTGGATATATGCATTAAAGAAGTCTGTATATATACATCAAAATGCATGACAATTACTAATAGACACAAAACGTAGTCCATATCAACAATAAAACTCTTAAGTTGTTACTAAAATGCAAGAGTCTTGGAGAAAAGAATAAACTCGTGAAACCAATGCAATGATCTGTTGAACTAGATGTTAAGAAAAAAATAATCAAGATCAAATATATTGTGTACCAAGAACTACTTATTGTGTTCACTTGAAGGGGTTCAATGGATATTACCATAAAATGAAAATTGGGACTTTAAATTGCAATGTAATAAAGAGTACGAAATAATGTGTCTCATTCTCTATGAGGGAGGCAGATAGATGCCATGATCAATGCTCGTCATGTATACTTTGAAATTTTGGTCACAAATTTAGAGGAAGCACAAACACAGGCAAACACGCATAGGGTCATAACTTTTGACAGGTTTACCACAAAATTTGTAGTAGAAGAAACACAAAACCCGCGTGAAGTTCGACCAGCAGGGAAGTTTGCAGTTCACCTTGATGAGTTATGGTGTGACTGTGGGAAATTCCAAAAATTTCACATGCCTTGTTCACATGTTCTTGCTGCATGCAAGTATGCACACCATGACTTCAACAACTATATTCATCCAGTGTATACCTTACAACAAGTTTCAAAGGTATACGGAACACAATTTGGGTTATTGAGAAATGAAGAATATTGGCCAACATACACAGGACCTACTTTGTGTGCAAATCCAGAAATGAAAAGAACTTCAAAGGGCCGACCAAAATCAAGTCGTATAAGAACTGAGATGGACATTACAGAAAATCAAAGTAGGATTAAAAAATGTTCATATTGTCATACCCTTGGTCATAGCAGAAGAACATGTCCCAATGTTGCACGTGCATCTACTTCGCATCATTAGATTGTGTTAGTTAAGAAATGTCTCAATGTATGAAACTTAGGAGTTTTGTTATATTAATTTGAAATATACCCTGAAATTGTGGTGTATCAGGTACAAATTAAGAGAAAAAAAATTGGAATTTCAAAATTTTAATAAATTCTTTTTTTAAATTGGGACTTTAGATAGCGGTTCCCATAACCGCTATCTAAACATACTAAAGAGAGCGGTTCTAGAACTAACCGTTATTAAAAGTATATTTTAGATAGTGGTTAACTTGGAATCGCTATTATATGTTCACTTTTAAGAGCGGGCAAAATATTAACCGCTCTTAAAAGTTACACATATATGATAGCGGTTCCACTTTAACCGCTCTTAAAAGTGACAAATATATCTTAAAATTGACACATGTTTGAATCAGATATCGCTCGAGCGAGACTAATGTCGCTCAAGCGAAACACAACCCGAGAATCCCCAATCTTAGCAGGTGGCGTCGCTCGAGCGATGTGAATTTCGCTTGAGCGATATTAGAAAAATCAGATACAATGATCGATTATTTTAGGTTATAAACGATTATACGTTATGATGATCGATTATAAGTGGTATATGATCGGTTATATTTTGCTAATAGATTATAATTTTAATTTATCTGTCATAATTAAAATTATGAGTGGTATATGATCGGTTATAAGTGGTATATGATCGGTTATAGACCACCTCCTTCGTGGTCACAGTTTGGGTACTTGAAGAAGTCGCTTCTGAGTGGGTGAGCTTGGAGCTTTTTCTTTTGCCAGCCATGGTTTATGTTTACGACTATTGAGATAGTCAACAATGAACGAAAACAGATAACAGAGAATCTGCGAGTAATTAGAAAGCAAAGAATACATTAACCTCAATGGTTGCTGTATGCTTCTTCTTTAAAATGCAAACGAAATCAAACAAGATGAACCATCAAATTTAAATTCAAAACCGAAATCAACAACCATATTAAACCCTAAACCAAATGAACAGAACCCAATATTAAACATAGACGAACCAGAGCCGGGAGAGAACGAACGTTTCTTTTGCGTGCGCCGGCAAGAGAGATGCAGAGCGAAATTATGTAAAACTATAATCGCTTAGCACAAACTATGATCGATGTTCTCCAACTATA